ATATTTCTATAATTGAACAAAAATTTCTCCAAAGCAATGTCCAAATCTATTTTCTTGTTGTTTTCCATATTTCTTTTCATACTCATCTTCATCGTTCTTATCATTTGTTCACATTGCCCATTCGATTGTTGATGATGCTGCTGTGAGTATATGTTTTATACCATGATCCCCACAAAACTTTTCAAATAGCTAGTAAAATTAGTACCATTATCCGTCAATATTTTGTATGGTATTCCAAATAAACTAACAATTCTCATCAATTCTTTTACCATCGATTCAGTCGTTAAGTTCTTCATACGTGTTATTATTGGAAATTTGCTATATGCGTCAACAAATACCATAAAATTGTTATTTTCAATTTGCGCAAAATCTAATGTACACGTTCAAAAATCTTAGTTGCCTTTTCCCACGGGTTTTCTATGTTGTGTGAGTTATCTGTGTATTTATTGCACGAATCACAATTCTTCACCTCTTGATCTATCTCTGTGTTTATACCAGGCCACCACAAATAATCTCTTGCTAACAATTTCGTTTTGTCTGCTCCTAGATGTCCCTTGTGTAATTCACGTAAAATCTCCTTTCTCATGTTTATCGGTATTATTATCCTGTTTTCCTTAAAAGGACAATCTTTCATCAAGCTCAATTCCATTTCCATATTTTTGTACGTTTTATTTTTTATCGGTTTGTTACTCCTAATATTATCAATTATTTCCATTAATTCTTCGTCCTTTTTTGTTTCTTTAACTATTCTATTAAAGTTTATTGGGATGTCCCATAATTTTTCATCAATTTTTTCACCTTCTATATTCATTATCACGCTTTCTGTATTTGTTAATGGTAATCTTGATAAACAATTTGGCACTAAATTCTGTTTCCCCGGTCTGTGCACTATTGTGTAATCATAAGCTCCCATTGCTAAATTCCACTTTTGTAAACGCATTGATATTGAAGTATTTTCTTTAAGTGTTTTTGAAAAAATATATATTAATGGTTTGTGATCTTTTATTATCGTAAATTTTGTCCCAATCAAATATTCTTGAAATTTTTTTACAGCATATATTATAGATAGAGCCTCTCTTTCAATGTTCGTATAATTTGTTTCGTCTTTTAATAAAGTTCTCGGCGCAAATGCTATAGGTTTTTCTTTGCCATCACCTTCAATGTGAAATAATACTGCACCTAATCCTTTTTTCGAAGCGTCAAAATTCCTATAGGCGATTCGGGATTGTAAAAATTTAAAGTTGGCGGACTACTAATCAACTTTTTCAAATCATCAAAACTTTTCTGATGTGCATCTTCCCATATCCACTTTTCTTTTTTAACTATCTTATATAACGGGTCTGTTAAATCTGCAAAGTTACATAAAAAATTTCTGTAATAACTGGCTATGCCTAAAAATGTTGCTAACTCCTCTTTTGTTGTCGGTTTTGGCATGTTTGTAATGGCTTTGATTTTGTCTTCGATCGGATGTATGCCTTTTTCGTCTATATCATGTCTCAGAAATCTAATCTTTTTCTTCATAAACACACTCTTGTTGAAGTTAGGTATAAGTCCAAGATTTGTTATTTTGACGAAGATTTTTTTTATGTTGTTCAGATATATTGCATCATTATCACCAGTTATCAGTAAATCATCTATGTAAAATATGACATCCTTTCATGTCTCCCAAAATTTTACCCATACTACATTGGGAAATTACTGATGACGTTTTTAAACCGAAAGGGAGTCTCGTAAATCTATAATAACCTTTGTGCGTTGATATTGTCAGTAGATCTCTAGATTCTTTATGTATTGGTATTTAAATGCGTTTTTGAAATCCTTTCGATAATTTTTAAATTAAATCTTTAATACGCGGTATCGGATATCTAAAGTCCTCTAAGACAGGGTTTATCGTATTTTTAAAATCAGCACATAGCCTTAGTGATCCATCACTTTTATGAACTGGAGTGAGTGGACTTGCCCATCGTACTTCATCTACTGGTTCTATTATTAATTCTTTTGTTATTAGATCAAGTCTTTTATAGGAACACGTCTTGGTGGTATAATCTTTGGTTTTGCATCTTGTTTCAAGAGTAATTTAACATCACTTCGATATATTGGTTTTTTGTTAATTTTTAAGTTGCATTGTTTTATCAACTTTTCTATCCTATCATTATTATTTTCCTCGATTAGATTTACAAATTTACTTTTATCCATATCCTTCCCAGAAGTGCAATCTTGTCACTTTGGACTATATATGCATTCAGTGGCCTAGCTACGGGGGTGGTTTTCGGGTTTGGACCCCTCCCAGAGCTAAATCTTTTTTCTAGATTATACGTTCAAAAGACTTAAAAGTGACTTTATATTAAATAAATTCCATTAGTATTTATATTTTTCTTTTTTGATGTTTGTGGAAGGATATTATATTACTATTGAAATTATTCTGGATAGTATTATTATAAAGTCATTGAGAATAATCTACTAAATTATAATAACATATTGATGCATTTAAAAAATATATTTATTATATATTATAGAAGATATGGTTATGATTTGTAAGATTAACCCGGCCGAAGGCCGGGGAAAAGGGCCGAAGGCCCGTTAAAGTGGGCCTGATCTATAGTTATTGTAATTGTAATTGTTATTATAATTATTTTTATTGTTAAATCTTGCAAAATTATTATACGATCTTGGCCCATTATACCCCCTTTCATTATTATAATCTCTTGAATCCATAGTGTCCCCTTCTATTTTTATGTTATCTATTTTATTAATTTCAAACGCTTCTTGTTCCTCAATTTCCTTTCCTATTTTCAATATCTCTGGTATATCTACACTTTCTATATGTGAAATTTTCTGTCGTATATCTTTATTAATTGAAAAAATTTTCATTCTCTCAATCGCTCAATTTGCATTTATTACTCAATATACATAATCTAGTTACCCAATCACTGAATGTCTTATTTTTTTCTTGGATAATTTCACTAAACTCTTAAATACGTTATATACGATTTATCTGGATGTAATAGTCTAAATCTTTCGAGTACGATTGACGGATTACTAAACTCTGTCGCAGTACATATCGCTTCTAGTTTCAAGTATTCTTCTTCGGCAAGTTTTTGAGTAAACGCATACGCCTTCTCCGCGTCTGAGAATTTAGGATCTTTAAAAATAGCGTTAAATTTTTTTAAAAAAACTTCAATATTATTATTATAATTTAGACATTCGATGAAATTATTTTTAACATTTACTAACGGTTTCATTATTATTTTATTATATCAATGTTTTATAATTATAATTTATTATATATTTATATATCGAAATACAATACAACTATTCAATATTGTTGGTCTCTCTAATCTTTGATAACGCTTCGCCTTTAATATAAATAGTCTCCCATTACCATCTATGTATCGCTTGCCATTGATAAGTCTATATTGCATGTCTCCTAGTCTAAAAGAATGATATGTATAGCGTATGTCAAATCGTTTTTATTATTATCATAGAATTGTCGAATATAAAAATCAGAAGGTAACGTTATCACGATAAGAAAATCTGCCACCATAATAATTATAAGGAAGACACCTATATTATATATTATTTTTATTTTACTAAAACTAAAAATTATATCTTTTTACAACTCTATGTATATAATATTCTTTTAATATTTACATTATCTTCAATTTAAGGTTATTTTAAAGAAAAGTTAATTTAACATATATAAAAAGAAAAGTACAATAAGTTGTCAAAGGTCATTTAAATTATTTTACAAAAAGAAAAAGAAAGAAAAAGTACGAAAGGTCGTACGAATAATTTTAACATTTAAATCTATATTTAACATTTATTAAAATAACACTAAAATTTACCAACTCTAAAGGAAACATAATAAACAAGTTTAAGTTCTGTTTTATTTTTTACTACTTTATATTGATGTATTCAATTTAAGATCTGTAAAACTGGGTAGTCTTACTGGCTCGATTTTTAAAACTTGTTTTAAAAAAATCAGATCAAGTTGATTTCCGTATCTTCTAGACAGATTTTCTTTTTTGCTACTCCTTGGTGTCCTCTTTATATAAACCAGTAGTAATTTGGGGCGTAATTTCCTGGGTATAATTATTCTGTGGTCTATATGCAGGTATCCATTTCCTCCATAATTGGCATGTTTTGAATGATTATTAAATTCTTTCTTTATTTTGTAAGAAAATAATGTTTTAATATAATTTACAGTTAAAAATGTTATCTTCGTTATAAGTTTGTATATATTTTTATTTTTTATTAATCTTCGGAAATGTATTGTCTCCATTGAAAGTCTTAATAGTCCTCTACTACTGTTTTAGTTTCTCGTTATATATTTTATCTTATTCTCTTGCTTCTTTGAAAGTGTTTACATTGCTTTTTCCACAAGTTCAATCCTTATTATTGTAACCCCCTTATAAATTCGATCCTTTCCCTTTACTAAAATGGGGCATAATATATTCTTTCCTTCTACTTTTACATACGATAATTTCGAATAAAGACTGTCAGATCAAATATCACCGAGAAAAGTAAAGTGAGAAAGATAATATTTTTGGGCAGTTGTAATTAGAGATAAAATATAAATAGCGAAAACAAAACACTATCGAGACTTCCGATGATGACTATTTATCACATAACTAATAGATTAAACCATTTTAAGCATGTTAAGAATGATTATGTAAAAAGATGGATGCCTGTATAGAAGGCAGAATAATTATACCTATTTGCAACCTTAAATGCTAACTGAATTGCCCGGACATCAAGGAATAGTAAAAACGAAAAATCTAAGATAGGTCTTTTGGTCAGAGATTATATATTTAAATTTAAATTATAATGTTCATAGATATAGAATCCAAATTCATTAATATATATAATCGTAAATTTTTTAATAAACTCGCACCTAATTTTGAACAAAATTTCTAAATATAATAGTTTGGAATGGATCCTTCGGATAAACAATTATCTGGGGGTTTAACCGAAAAAATACTTTATTTATTCATATCTAGGACTTAGAGATGTACACTTCATACTATCGGGGGATTGCCAGATTGCAAAGACTGCTTTACGTAGCAGACCATTGCAAATCGCTGGAATTGGAAGCTCTGAAAATGATAGTCGAATATATAATGGGATCGGGTGCTGATACTACTCTTTACCTTCAATGTTATGAAAGAATTGCTAAATGCTTATTGACTGAATTCGGTAATGCTAACCAATCGGGAATGAGGGAATATCAAGAAAATATTCTTTACCAAAATGCCGGCATACCTCCTTTAGATAGGGAATGGGTCGAAAATGTCAGCAAAAAGGCAGCCCTAAAATTGGAAAAACTCGATACTGACCTCAAGAATTATAAGAACAATTTTATCAAGGAGAGTATAAGGTTGTAAATCTAGCTTTCTAATAATTTAATCATATTATTTGTTGTAATTATTTTTAATTTGGATATTATCTCAAATTATTTACACTGTATTTTAAGAAGAATAGTATAAGATCATTATCGATAATTATCTTGATTACAAACCCGGTTAATTGAAACCTTAAAAATTAACAAACTTGTTAATTTCATACATATTTTTAAATGCATAAAATTCTTTCTTTTTTTGTGAACAGACGTGGTCATTACGATTTAGGTGAACACTATCTGGTATGCGGAGACCTAAACAACGCCCTCAAATGCTTTTGTAGACCAAGGGATTATTGTACCACTCCCAAACACATAGTCACCACCTGCCTCAACGTGATGAGGGTATAGTTTTCATTAAGTTTTACATGTCATTTACTCACGGATTGTCCGATATATCGGAATTGGATGGGCATTGATATTAATGATTATTGAGTAAAATAAAACCCGATCCAATTTTTTTTAAATAACAAAAGGAAAGTGTAATAAACTTATATTTTTATATGAATGAGCCAGAGGAAGGATATAAAAAAAACATAAAAACGAAAGCTTCTTTTTTTCCAAATGTTAAAAAAAACCAAAATAAATATGCTTAAAATCTTTTTATTCTAAATTTTTGAAATATTTATAAAATTTGCAGATTAGTAGATTATTTTTTCCCCCATCTTTAAATTCTATTAGGCTTTGTCTTCACAGGCAATTACCCGAATGCGCGATTTTTATTCGTGCGATTTATTTTCCCGCGAATGTCTACTTTATTTTTCGCCTAATAACATGTATTTTTAATTTAGGCACATTTCATTTTTTTAAAAATTTCTATTATTTACTATTAAAAAATTAAAAATATAAAAATTACTTTAAAAAATGAAATAATATAAAAGAAAGAAAAAAAGAAAAGAGAAAGAAATCATTTTGAACAAATATATAGTAAAATTAATTTTTTAAAATTATTAAGAAAATAATATGGAAAATTACTATAATAGATTTGGAAAGGGATATCAATAATATTTTGAAATATTCCAATTTACCATCTTCAATTCACAGAAGTAGAATCAATGTTACTAATTCTAGTAAAGAAATTAGAACAAAATATATGAATTATTTTATTAATGACCATGTTATATAAATATTTGCACTAATATTATTATATTTATTTGACACTTATGATATAATAAAATAAACAAAAATATTATAATTGATTGATCATTATTTGGAAATTATAATAAAACATTTAGATTTTATATAATCAACAAAATATAATTATAAAACATTAGGATTTTCAATAATCATAATCCATATATTTTTTTCAATATTTTATTTCTGTATATTATTCATTGAAGAGAAATCCTGTTAAAACCTTTAAAATTAACCATTTCGTCCTCCTCTTCTAGTATATTTTTTAAATCATTTTCAATTTCTCTTGTTAATTCTAAAAAATATTCATTTTATTTTCTTTGCTTAGGAATTTGAGTGGGGTTAACCGAAAATAAAATATTATTTTATTAAATATAATTTATTACATTCTCTTTGTCATTGCTTACACTATTTTCTTCACTTAACTTTGAATTGAAATGACAAATTTATATCAGAGACATGCAGGCCCGGCCCTAACCCCGGCTAGACCCAGGCCAGAAAAAATACCCTGGCCGGGCCCTATTTTTTAAAAAAATTTATACAACATGAATTATTATATTCGTCAATTAGATATGATTATATATAGTTATGATTAATATAATGTTTGGTGAAAGTTAACACTAGCTAACACTTATAGTATCTATTACATAATAAAATTATAGTTTTCCTGATATGGAATAAATATGCAAAGGATTAAATACATTATTATATAATATATGTTATATTTTTTATTAATTAACATTTTTATTTTTTTTATAAATACATAGTATATTCTCAAAATATTATTTATACAAATTTTTTATAGTATCACTTTGTAATATATTAAATATCTGTTTAGAATAAAAAAAATAATATGTAATATACTTGCTTATTAAATGATAATACTCGCCTAAAAATATGATAAAATACGAAATAATCAATTTTTTGTATATATACCAGGTCGAATATAATTTTAAAAAATTCCGAGCCTGGCCTAAAAAATTTTTTTTTAAAATCCAGGCCGGGCCCCACAAAATTTTTTTTTATATATCCGGGCGGGGCCTAAAATTTTTGAAAAAAATCCGGGCCGAGCCGAAATTTTTTTAATCTGGGCCGAGCCGGAGGTCTCTGATTTATATTATGCAATTAATTGCCGATTCTTCCAAGGAAGCATCCTCACTATGACTTGAATTTTATATTTATATAATGGAGTATCGTCATTGGTTCAAGGAAAGAAAATGCTTCAAAATAAATCTAATTTTTTTTAAATCCAGAGCTTGAAGCTCTCTTTTTTCTTTCCCTCATTAATGTGTCTTTTAAGCTTTTATATTTTAATTTGGCCTTTAATACTAATAATTCAAATAATCAGTATCTAATTATTAATATAACCTAACCTGACATATTATGCTTTATAGCTATTTCTTGAAATCTTTCCCTCCTAAATTTATTTTTATGCATATCAACACTTTATAAGTTTGAGATTTGTTATATCTTCAATATCAAATTTATCTAAAATTTAAATTAGGAATAAAAATAAAATAAATAGTATTTACCCATCATATAATTTTTTCAAACTAAAAATGCTGCTTAAAATTACGAATTCTCCAAAATGCAATAAATGAATTGGTGAAAGAAAAACGTTTTTTTAATGTGCGTAAAAAAATGCAAGAATATTTGCTAAGACACTCACGTCTGTTTATATTGTTCTCAAATTTTGCAAAAATTAAATACGCGAATATGCTAATTATTAATTGCCTCAGAATTTAAGTTGAATTTTAAAATTAAAAATAGAAAACCACTTTGGAATACTTATTTTTATAATGGAAGTTAGTTAGAGAATATTCTGATTAATTTTTTTTATATAAAATCAAATCCAAAAGCTTAAAATTAAAGCAATAATTTTAATAAGCAATTTTTAAATTAGAATATCCGATCCGTTTTTAGAAAATATTTTTTGATATCGGATCGGATTAGATGAAAAAATTGCGAATCGGACAGCCTAGTTTAAATTACTATATTATATATTTTTAAAAAAAATTCGTTTAGTAATTTTCACTGAATCTCGTATTTTGAGTCAATTGATGTTAAAATAATTTGCAAAAATAAAATCAGATTGATAATAATATGTATTTTCATTTTAATATATAATTGCGAAAAAAATTAAAAAATGGGGCTTACCTCTGAATATGCCAATAACGATATAATAAATTTTAAAATGGCTCTTTTGAAATTATTATTATGTGATAACATCATATTTTTGTTCTATGTAGGTTAGCATATACTTGCGCAATTGGAATCATGTGTTGAACTACGCCATCAGAGCTGAAACTACTATTAACCCTGAACTAGCAGCCTTAACCAGTAATGGTAATAGCTCAGATAATCGAAAAGACGGGGATAAAATTACTGGGAAAACTACAAGTAGAACAAAAACAGGTATTTACCAACTTTCTTTTTTATATATACAATATAAAATATGTCATAAATAAATGTATAAATTAAAAGAGAATAATAAATTTCATTGCACATTTTGAAATTATTAATGACATTCATTTATAAATTTTGGAAAAAAACTTTATCAAGCCACAACCACCAATTTAAACACTGGTACTAGTAATCGTCTTGTTACGACTTCGACTCAAGATACGAGTTCTCAAACTGTTTTGAATGAGGAACAAGGATCTATTGTAAATGATCAATTTATAGTAGTTTTTATATATAATATTTTATATTTCCAAAATAATAATATATAATAATTATATTTACAAATGAATCATAGACAGAAATGTCCTGGTCAAAAAGATCCGGACAATATATCTCAATTTTAGAAATTTGTTTATATGCTTAAAAGGAGGGTAATAAAAATTTCCCCCTTTTTGAGCGTTTAAATTTTTTTTGAAAATTGGGGTATTTTGTCCGTGAGTATTTTTGTCTAGTGTCTTTTTAATCAGGACATTTCTGTTCGTGATTTTTTACAAGTGATGTTTATATTAATATAAAAGAATATATTTTTCTTTTTAAAATGACCTTAGAAATTTTTGAAATTGCAAAAATAATAGAATAAGATTTATTATTGGAATATTCTATCCATTTGAAAAATGAACTAGCTTTATAAATGGGTAGATATTATTGTTATCTATATTTAAACCTAAATTTTAAATATTTGTTTACAATGTTATATTGAATTTTATTTTGTTTAATTTACAAAAAGTTTTATATATTTATATATTTTTTTTAAATTCAATTTTTATTAAAATTCATATATAAATATGATAAAATATAATTATTTAAAAATTAACATTAAAATATAGAGAATATTGTCATATATCATTTTAGGTTAAAAAAAATACAAATGTATATTTTTATAAAAAGAAAAATAAAAAAAACATTTAAAAAAAAGAAATATCAAATGGCGTGGTCGGGCCATGATGTTTTAAATATTTGATAATTAGATCTAACTATAGATACGGCGATTTTCTGCTTGAGTTTGTAAAATGGAGAAAGGTATGATGTTTTTATTGATTTGGATATTGTTTTGATAATACTCATAAAATTTTCGTTGTGGGGGGAAATGATATATCTTTTCTTGAAAAAATTGCATATTTCGATTATATTTTTTTGTTATCTTTTTCTCACACGCAAATAATGTTATGTTCGCCATTTTTAAGATTGGATTCCTGAATAAGCAGGTTAGTAACGAATTATGTAGTATTTTAAGCTATACATAGAATAATTTGTAATAAATGACTGGGTTAAATAAATATTTATTTAACCACAATTTATATAATATTCATACTTTTTTAAAATTTAAAATTCACGTTTAAATCTATATAAAGAGGGGCAAAAATACCGTTTTACAAAGTTTAGCTAGGAACCGAGAATACCCTCCTAGTCTTAAAGGCCCCCCCCCTTCCTTAACTTCTACATTTAATCATTATTATTTACGAGAGATGGATAAAAGGTAGAAGAGACATACTAAATATAAAAATATAAATAAAAATAGGCATTTCTTGTAATATTAAAATTTTACTTATTTTTAGTGTTGTCGAACGCGTTAAGAAGTTACTTTTTTTGAAAAAGTGATGAAGGGCGTTCCTTTTATTTTTGATTTAATTTGAACGTGAACGCGTTCCTTTTATGACGAACGCGTTCGAATTTAACGTTCGTTCAATTTTAAAATATTTTTATTTTTGTTTATTTGAAAAATTTAATATTTCCGAATTTTTTTAAAAAATGTATTATTTATATTTTTTAATCGGCTGTGTATTTCCTTTTCACATTTCAATTTTTTTAACACATAGTTTATTAATTTGAATATTATTGTTTATATTTTAATTTAATTTATTAGTATAAGCATGGATATTATTATTTAATCCTCATCTGATTCTGAAAATTCAAAATCAGATGAATTATCGTTACCATGACCAAATATGATAAATGTTTTACATTAACATCCTATATTGAAGGAACTAATCCAATGCTTGCCAAATGTAGAATGTGGCCAAAAAGTATTATATTGTCAAAATCTTCAGGTTCCAATTTAAAACGACATTTGATTTTAATATTAATTATTTGATTTTATATGATATAACTAAGTTAAATCATTAAATTTGAAGAAATAATGCATTTGGGATATTTGACCCCAACAATGACGATAGTTAAATTAAAAAAATTAGTGGCCTCAAATATGGTCAACCATTGATAGACGCCGTATTAAATGGGATTAATAAAAGGTATTAAACCTATTACTCTCAATTAATTACATATATTTTATTTTTTTAAAGATATGAACCATATATATAAGGATCAATATGTTCTTTCTGCAATTATACATCCAGCATTCAAACTTCAATGGCCATGGATAAAACTTCCACAGAACGAACCTATTAAAAATAAACTTATAGCATCATTGAAAAAAATGCCATGAAAACCCTAGAGAACTGTTAATTTCGAGATATCCTTTTTTTGTCGAGAGTAGAGAGTGAATTGGAGGAGGATAACTTATCTCAATTTTTTGCAAATAAGAAAACAATATGTTTTTAATTAATTCTCCATGTTAAAAGAGCTGTTTATTAAGTATAATACCGCAATCCCCTCATCTGCCCCTGTAGAGCGCATTTTTAGTATAGCTAATGCCGTATTAACTGCCAAGTGTTCCTGTCTATCAGATAAATATTTTGAAAACAATTATTATTAAAATTTAAAAGAAAAATTTTTTATAAATAAAAATATCTTTTTATTCGCTATATTATATTTTATTTATGATTATATTATCAAAATAAACTATATTATTTTTTAACATGACTAAAATATATTGTATTAAAAAATATAAGTTTATTTATATTAAATTAAATTTAAAAAATTTATCATAAAATTTTGAACGGTTTTATGAACGTGAACGCGTTCCTTTTTTTTTGAACACTGAACGTGAACGCGTTCGATTTTTGTCAATGAACGTTGAACGCGAACGCGTTCGATTTTACAGCACTACTTATTTTATATATTTTTTGAGAATTTTCATTGAATTTATAATAAACTTATTAACATTAAATTTTACATTTTAACAATCCTTAAAGTTAATTTGCATTTTAAGGTGTAAAAAACATATGATCCAATCATTTGTTTATTATATTTCCCTCCTCATTATATTAATAACAGTTTATTAGTTTTAATATTGAACTCAAGATTGTATTTCATTTCAAATGTTTATAGCAAAAATCCGGATTGAATTTTATCTCTAACTTCTCATTTTTAATAAAGCCCTTCATTTATTAAACTAATATTTTTTTAAAAAAATAGAATGTCAGATGTTGCCGCCATCAAAAATTATTTTATTTGAGGAATATTGGCTTCGTTTTATGCTTTCAGCCAATGAATATTTTTATGTTTTTAGCCGATGAAAGGCAGTTTTCATGGATATTTTATTTGGCGAAAATGTCTATGTAGGTTTAGTCCCATGATAGAAGTAACTTTCTTCCAAGGGATGAGAATTAAATGAATCAAAATAGGGAGAGGGATATTTGATTTCAATTACTAAAATAATGATCATCATTTATTTATTTTATATCAGATTGCCCCTACCCTTGCTCCAGCTCAAACTTCTTTATCCTCTCACACAACCGTTACTTTAACCACCAGTACATCGGTCTTGACATCTAACCAAATTACCTCATTACCAAACGCCCCATCCACATCAGCTCATTATTTCTACTCTTCGTCCCTCTCCAAGGTGGCCTGGATGGCTGGTTTAGCTGAGATGTGCTCCTCTTCTACTACAAATATCAATAATGGAATTCAAAATGGGAACATGCACCACAATTTTGAGGCGGCCGCCAGACGATTCGCTTCCATAAGGTTTATATGTTTTTCAAAAAAATTAATTTTCATTAGCTTTATTTAGCGACTGAATAACATGTTTTATTAAATACTCCTACGATAAGTAATGTAGATCACGTCACACCTTCTCCATCTTGTTTGTCGTGGCAAATGGCTAGTGGAGGAGATGCTTTGACACAGCAACAACAACAGCCATTGATTATACGTGAGTGTCCGTTTAATGTCATTTTTTATACATATTTTTTTAAATTTAATATAGGGAAGCAAAATAATTTTTAGTTTAGTTTTATCATGTAATTTGTATTATTTTAATTAAGTATAGTTTTTTTTAATATTAGATGTAGTTTTTAATAAAGTTTAAAGAATTCATGGAAATTTCTAGACTAGTGGTTACAATTAATAATAGCAAGAATATTTTTTAAAAAAACCCATGATTGATATTTTTATCAGAGACCTGCAGAGGCACCATTTGCACGTCCTGGCCCGGATAAATTTTTAAAAAATTTTTTACGGCCCGGCCCGGATTTAAAAATTAAAGGCCCGGCCCGGATATTTTTTAAAAAAAAAATTTGAGGCTCGGCTCGGAATTTTTTAAAATTATATTCGACCTGGTATATACAAAAATTCACCTATGAGGTATTTTACCATATTTTTCAGTATTATCGCTTATTATTTAAAAAATACATGAAAAAAGCTAATATTTTGAGAATATTATATTGAATTTATAAAAATTATAAAACTGTTATTTATAAAAATGGATATTTTGAGCATATACTATATTTTTTGCATTTATAAAAATAAAACTAATATTCATAAAAATGGTAATAATATTTTGAGCATATACTATATTTTATATTGCATTTAAAAAAAATAAAACTAATATTTAATTTATATAAATGGAAAATATTTTGAGAATATTATATATTTTATTTAATTTACTATTTAATTTATAAAATAAAAATAAATTGCTATTTAAAAAAATGCATGTATAATAAATAGTATTTTGAAAAATCTAATTGCACAATATTAATATAATTTATTTTATAATTTTTAAATATTTTATATTACATTTATTTATAGGTTGGTTTTTCAGGTGTAAAAATAAATTATTAATTTTCATGGATTTACCATCACATTTATGTCTTTTTAGATGTGATGTACCATGTTTATAATTATAAGATAATATACTTGAACAATTCTTACATTGTACGTAGCCAATGTTTTTTTTATTTTCATCTATGATGATGTTAAATTTAGCCCATATTTCAGATTTTAAATTATTATTTGTATTTCTAAAAGAATAAATATTATTTTTAATTTTATTAATTATATCATTAGTATTTTGTGCCATGATATTCCTTTATTTGATTGTTTTGGTAAATATTCTAAAAATTTAGATATGAATTATAAAAAATATATTATTAATACTTGAATATTGGGGCTTATTTAAGATATTCCTTTATTTGATTGTTTTGGTAAAATATGTTGTAAAAATATAGATATGAATTATAAAAAAATATATTAATACTTTGAATAAATTTGCAGGAAATTAATAATTAGATCGATCTGTGGGTGTTAGGTGTGTTAACCATCACCCAATATTATATTAATCATAACTATAATATAATATAATCTTATAATCTTATAACCATTAACTCATAATGTAAAAATTTTTATAAAAAATATTAAGGCCCAGCTCGGCCCGGGTTTAACAATCTTAGGCCCGGTCCGGCCCGGATATATTTAAGAAAAATTTTTTAGGCCCGGCTCGGATATATTTAAAAAAAATTTTTTTAGGCCCGGCTCGGGTATATTTAAAAAATTTAAAATACGGCCTAGGCCGGGTATAGGGCAGGGCCTGCAGGTCTCTGATTTTTATTAAAGCCTTATATTTTCTTATCACTATTAGGTCCCTTAGATAAACGGCATCCTTATAATAAGCATCCAGTATCTTCTAATCTTCCAACCTACTCAAACTCAGTTTCTTCGTCCACAACACAACCCGCGTTGGTTTTGCCGTTTGAGGACTCTAACGCGTATTACGTGGTGTCCCCCAATAACGTGGCCTGGTATGCTGGTTTATGCGGATTGGCAACTTTTGAGAGAGAAGCCCTCAAGAGACTGTTCCTGAGTGGAAATTGGTAAATAAAATTGTATTAAAAAATAATGAAAGAGTAGGACAAAGTAAATGTATAATCATACATAGGCGTATCCCGGTTTTTCGTAATGTTGGGAACTTTTGGGTGGCTTTTTTTACCATAAATTTTATTGAAATGTTTTAAGGCCCACTTTTTGGACGCTTTTGGCTTGATTATATATTTTTTTAAATTAGTTTTATACATTTTTAATGACATATATATTGATTTTCGTGAGAGAGGGGCTGGGGATGGATTTAGGAGGAATTTTTTATTACCATGAGAAAACTTACACTTTTTAAAAGTTATAAATTTCCGGCCACCCCCCCCTTTCTATAATTACGCAACATTATATTTATAAATTATTTAATTACCAACATCAAGCCCTTTCAAACAATTTTTGGAATTGGAACCATGCTTAAGAGAAATCTATACTCCTTTTACCTCTAAATACGCAACATTATATTTATAAATTATTTAATTACCAACATCAAGCCCTTTCAAACAATTTTTGGAATTGGAACCATGCTTAAGAGAAATCCTATACTCCTTTTACCAATCTAAATATCAAGATTGCTTAAGTTATCTGGATGATGTCAAGGTTCATTTTTTTTAGTTCTCATTTTTTGTACTTAAATAAATGCAAGGTACTATTCTTTTGCTTTTATAAGGTTAGATTATTAAACGTATTGTTCATTTATAAAGGCAATCTCTAAATGTCATGTTTAGTTTTATATTACATTACTTTGTCGACAAGAACTTCTTATAAAATATATTGTTTGAATTAGGCGTTTCATTTTTACTTGATATAAATTATAACCCTACACTGACCTGTCCGATCCGACTAAACTAGGATTGGTCGAACTACAGAAATTCTCTGGATTTGGTTGGCAGCTAAACTTTAATTTTTAAAATTTTATTCGTACTGGGAATTTTAAATTTCTCTTTAATCCTTTTATAAATATTTATTTTGAGAAAAATAGCCAATTTTTTTATGACTGGACCAGAAAAAATAGGTCCGATGCCGGCCTAAAATGTATGAAGCATTCTGTTTAATTGGGGATATATGAGCGTTTTGTTCAAATTATACAATATACATTATTTTATTATTTTAACAGGATCAATTGATGCTAGATCTATACCTTGGTCCTGTATTGGACAATTTGTATGATATGATCAGGACCAGAGCTATAATTCAATACATTACACCTTATTCCAAGGTTACATATTTTTGTTAATAAGATTGCACATTAAATAAATTTTTTAAAATCATTATTGTATTATTATACCCAATATTATGTGCCTTTATGTTGTGTTTTTAGAAATTCTGTTTTAACGGTTCCCTACGTTCTTTTTATACTGTGAGATTTTTGATTTGGCTATCCTAGTATATTATTTTTTTAAAACAGTTGACCAAAAATAATAATTTCAATATGCTAAGCTTCTAGAGGTAATTATAAGTGTATGTTATATATTTACTCAACCCATAAAAAGAAAAACATTTTCTCGACCCCCCCCCTCTACCCGAAATTTTTAAATTCCCGATCAGAACGTAAAATTAATATTTTATTTTCCGTCAACATGACCCGAAAATTTCAAAAAAATACCCTAAGATTTATTTCTTTTCTGGTATGTTATGAGATATTATCTAAAACGAACAAAATTATAAAATATTATGCAATCAAACCATGATTTGATATCACTTGTTTTAAAAATTTCTTTTTAAAATTAACTATTTACTTTTAAAAAGTTACTATTTACTTTCAAATTTAAAAGAAACTCGATTTTAAAAAAACCACGATTTTTGTCAACCATATTAGCATATTTAAAAAGTAATTAGTTCCTTTTATCATTACATTTTTCAAAAGTGTTACCAAATGTAACTCTAAGCTGTTCAACCTGCAAAAAATTGACCCGAATCTTCCCTCTAAAATGAAAATAACCCTAATTTCCAACCCAACCCAGGGTCTGGTCGGTGGGTTGGGCTTTCGAGTTGGATCGGGTTTTACACACCTCTAGTTATAAGTACCTTATTAATTACAAAAGAATATTTCCAAAATTTCGATCATCATTTTTTGAAATGCGTTAATACATTTAAAAATGAACCGGCTAATATAAAAAACCGACTAAATCTAAATAGGGAATATAAGGTCCGGTTACCAGATCCTGGATCCGTTACATCTCTAAAAAATACATATTTTTTTATCACCGATATTATTACTTTAAACATACTCAATAAGGAATTTATCAACAAGTTTACTGATGGTTTTATTACCCACTGATGAATTTTGTTACCCTTTAAAAGTTTTTATTCATAAATGCTAAATATTATTTTTTGATGATTATGCCTATAAAGGTTTGTCTTGAAAGTATGTACAAAATATTTTATCCCTATGAAATTAGCAATCAATCAATAAATAATGTTAATAATGAAGGCTTTACCAAACTAGAATCCGAAATAGGAAATTTGATTCACAAGGAGGTCATAAATGGGAAGATTGATTCTTATAACAAGGTATGCATTTAATTAATGTAGCATTTTATACTCCCCATTATGTTGTGGGGAGGGGGGGGGTGTAGAACTTGTATCTTGTAGGAATAGTATTGGGTTATAAAAAAAATGAAGAATAATTTTACATGCAAAAATTATAAATATAAATGATAATGATAATAGGATAAGTTTATCTTATATATAATGAAAGTAAGGTTTTATGAAATTGGGAATTCGATTTAATATAAAACTTAAATAAATATTTTTTTAGGATCGTTTTTTCCAAATAAATTTAATTCTTATTCACTTATAATATAATAATTAATTTTATTATTGAATAAATATAATATTTAGTCGAGCTATTGTGATCACCTATTTTATATATAAAGTACGTTTTGGATTAGTAAATAAGAACTCATTAGACTTTCTGCCTTATCTTTCTTTACTGCTAATGTTAATCAAAACATATTTAATATTTCATATTTCAAATATGTTTATTTCAGGTTTTATACATCAAAAATCCCGACGACAGAAAACTCCTTTTTTCCAAAACATTAAAATCAGGCGCCTTTTTCCAAAAAAATTGCCGTTCCCTGCTAGTTAGGGCTGCCATTTTGGACTCGAATATAGTAGTTAAAAGTAATTTGTTTTTTAAATGACTATAAGTATAAATTAAACCTTCCAGATAGACTAAATATTATGGAGTTTAAGTCTTTGCTACATTAACCTTATGTAATTAAAATATATTTTAATGTTTTAATATATAAAGCCAAGTATGTTTTTTTTCTAATATTTAATAAAAAAAGATGAGGTTATTAATTAATTTTAACGGATAGCAGATGCTGTTTTACTATACATTCATTAATTATTTTTTTAGAATGACGTGGTCATATGGAATAAAGTAACAAAAGGAGGAAATTTACATTACCAATTTGATAACTTATTTTAATGTTATATTTTTTATTATATTTATTTTTTTTATACTAAATTATCATTTAATTTTTGTATTCGATAATTATAATAAATTAACAAATTGTCAAATCCTTTTATTTATATCAGGGACCTGCAGAGTTATAATTTTACCCAATTTTTTAAAAAATCCCATTTTATCTGGATTTTTAAAATTCTCATTATTTTTACATCCCAGTCAATATTTTTAAAATTTCATCCCAAATAATTTTCGCTGTGTTATTACCTGAAAAGGAAATTTAGAACTTGGAAAGTAAATGACTGTTAAATGATCTATCATGTGGTTACTGATTGATATATTTATCAGTTTGGACTAGATTGTTATTTTTAGGCCCAACTTGGCCAGAATTTATTAAAATCATATTTTAAGGTAGAACCCCCTGTTCAATATAGAAATAATCTTCACTAATACCAAATTATAAAATCGCAACGTTAGACTTTACCATTATTTCTACAAATCTTTATATAAAATTTAACGCTTTTATTAATGATTATTTCAAGTTTGCTTAAAATGGAAATAATATAAGATTATTAATTAAGCGGAAAATAATTCCCTGGAAAAATAATTCTCCGGAATTGATTTTCTCAAAATTTTTTAATATATTATTTGAGGATTTTTATTCCATGGATATATTTATAGGGAATTTTTTCTCCTATTTTATTAATTTAATATCTTAAAAAACGGGGATTTTTTTCCGGGGAATTATTTTCCTAATGTATTTCAAGTTTTTATTTAAAAAAAACTGAAGAATTTAAAATTTATCTTTGCAAACTTATACTATATTTTACTATTTATAATGAAAACGATTATCAATATCGTCAGAGACCTGCTGAGGTATTTTTAATTTCGAATCCTGTATTGTTCCTAATTTCATTTTCAAACCAGGCTCAGAATTTTAAGAAATTAGCAAATTGTTGCTAAGGGAAATTGAAAATATAAATGAATATTAAACAATCAATTATAAGATTTTCTTTCTGATGGATATATGTTTAGGGCTCGAAAAACTAAAAACAACGAGAAATCCAAATTTTATTTTTGATCTTACAATAATCTATTTGTTATGTTTTTAGTTTTATTTGCTTGCTTTCTATGATTTTATTTCAATTATTATTTTCTTTAAATTTTTTTTATTATTTTGTTAAGTGAATACAGCTTTGTTGTGGTGACGGAAATTATGAAGGCAACGGAAGAAATTGGAGTGTAATGGAAAACTTGTTCAATGCGATCTTATGGGAAGAAAACATTCCAGCGGACTGGAAAAAAGTGTAGTTATAACCGATTTACAAGGGAAAAAGTGATCCAATAGATTGTGGCTCATACCGGGCGACCAAGCTCCTGGAGCATGGAATGAAAGTTTTCGAGAGAATTCTAGAGAAGGGAAGAGATCTAATAAAAATCGATGATATGCTCTTTAGTTTTACACCTTGGAAGAGAACTACGGATGCCATTTTCGTGGTAAGACAGATGCAAGAAAAGTATCAGGCCAGGAAAAGCACCTTTGTTTTGTAGAATTAGAGAAGGCGTTTGACAGGGTTCCTCGTGAAGTTACTAAATGGTCTTTGAGAAAATTATATGTAGAGGAATGGTTGGTTATGGCCGAGATGCTGATTTTAATGTACGAGGATGCCCGAACTGTTGTTAGGACACATGGTAGTGAGGGCTTTGAAGTAATGAGGGCTATATCAAAAATCTGTTTTGAGCCCATTATTATTTAGATGGAGATTGATACATGTAAGGAACATGGAGAACTACCCTGGGAACTTCTTGTTGACGATCTTACACTGCTGGCAATAAGTAAAGCAGAGTTAAAGGATAAGATAATCATTTGGTAGACGATTTTTATATCAATATTTTGGTAAGTCAACTGAAACTAGGGGAAATTTTTAATATTATTTTTTTTAATATTTATTTAATTTACTTTTCGTAAAATTATTTTTTTTATTAAAAAATAATAAATATGCGATCGTATGGCGATTGTTGTATTTTATTGTGGCTATTAGTTGGAGATTTTTTGATTAATAAATTTTAATTTAACGTCGAATATTTTTTTAAATTTAACAAATATTTTTTCCCCTTTTAATGGATTACATAAATTTTATCTATATCATAATTTGATATACAAAAACCATGGCTTTTTTAAAGGTCAGAACTTCTTATTAATCACACGTGTTGTTATAATAGCATGAAATTGGAGAAAAATGCAGCATCTTATAGAGTAAGATACTAAACATATTCAAGCAGCTATTCAGGTATTATTTAAATTTAGAAGAAATAAAAGGAAGTTATTTATAGTTTGCGTTAAATATAGATAAAGGGAGCTATATATTTTTTAATAATTATGAAAAGAATTATATAAATGTTAAAAATACGTTGTGTCCTTAAAGCCCTTTTATTTTGTAATATAATTTAGATGTTTTCTTTCATTCCATTTTTTATAATGACTTGTCGGGCCCCAAGTTATAGGGAGGAGAACAGGAAGAAAATATTTTTATTTTCGTAATATTAAACATGTCAAATTTAAGTAAATTAATTAAATTTTTAGATGTTATAAATTTATATTTGTTTTTCCTTAAAATTATAACTATCTATATTATAATTGTTTATATATTATGTTCATTCAAATAAATTGCTTAATTATCTAATATTTAATTTAATAGTCCTAACTTAGTAGCATCCAATTTATTAAAATTTTAAAAAATATATATTTTAGACTATCCTAAATATAAAATAATAGATCTCGAAAATTATGCGAATTCAACGATAAAAAATATATAAGCCATTTTTAATGTAAAATTTAAGAATTATGAAAATTTCACCAAAGTTTTGCAATTCTTAAAACTTTTGAGCAATGAAACTTTGAATTATTATTACATCAAAAAAATTCCACCAATAGCCACACGATATCTCATATAAAAAAATATAATTAAAAAAAATAATATTAAAAATTTTCCTAATTTCAGTGTCTTAGTATTTTTTTTTTATTTGTGGAGATAGAGATACACGTAAAAATATTTCAAAAAATTTCTAAAGTAGTTAATAGCGTTCTACTTAAAAAAAAATAGCCACAGTGATTATCGCACTAATTTTAAAAGTAGCTTTTAATAACACTGTCCCATCCCTGGTTAAGCGCCTATATTTATTCATTTTTTAATTATGAAGCTAACCCTACCACATATATGTGTTTTATTGAAATCAAGCAGATGAGATAAATAATATATATCTTAAAACAAATTAAAATTGTGAAATTAAACCTTATACTTTTAAGTAGTGTTGTTAAACGGCTCTTTTTGAGGCGATTTTTAAAAACTGCTAACTCAATATCCTAGGCAGAAAAATATTGCCTATGCCTCAAGATTTCGATAATATATGTAAGACCTTTGTTCCTTCTATGAGAAAAATCTTCAGGCTTGGGTAATATTTTTCTGGATAAAATATTGAGTTAGCCGTTTTTAAAAATCGGCTCAAAACGAGCCATTTAACAATACTACCTTTAAGGCAAAACCCTCCTATCGCCTATATTATATATAAACCTTATTATCTTACATCAGGCATTGGACTTTATGATTCCTTTTTTATTTTGACCAATTTTAAGCAGTGGTCGCCTTTACTCACTGTGCTCAAAATTAATTTTTTAAAAATTACCTGAATTTTTTTAGCTAATATATTCAAAATTACCTTTTTTAAAGGTATTTTTTTTAAAAAACTAAAAAGTATGTGACTATTTATCGATATGGTATTCGTAACAATAATCTTATATTTACATATCCAAAAAAAGTATGTATAGTTATAGACAGTTAAAGTTTTCCAAAAAGTTACTAGTTACAACAAAATTAATCTTATATTTATTTTAATATCGTCTCAAAATATCTTAGGCAAAGTGCCTAAGATTTTTAGTTGGAAGGAACCTGAGTTGTTAAAATATAATTTTCGGGTGTATCTAGATAATGATCTTAAAATATATTTAGATACAGATACACTTTTAGAAAATGAAACTATAAGATACACATTTTTCCAAGCTACATCTAAGATATAATTTTTTATTATCATGTAAGGTGTTAATGTTAAATATGAGAATATATTGTTAAAACTAAAATATTGAAATGAACCCCACATTGTTTATTCAGTTTGATAAAATAATAATTATAAAATATTGCTAGCTTTTAAAAATAAAACATTCTCAAATTTTATTTTATCAATGAGGCATCTCTATCTTTGAACAACTTAGTCACCATATGATGATGCACTGGAAGATAATGTTGTACTATACTATGAATAACATATTAATATCCTCTTCAAACTTGATAAAATCCTGACACAAATTTGTTATTTTTAAAGAAATCATTCAGTTTAGTGGGTGATCTATTCTTTCTTGCTTTAATTGTGATTTTTATATTAAAAACGCAAAATAAAATTATATTAGAATATATCGAATAAAAGATAGAGCTAAGAATTAAAATATAAATACGCATATATTTTTATAAAATTATAAATATGTTACAGATAGAAAATTTATATATCTAGATATTTTAACAATTCTAAATGGTCTCCCCCGTTTTTTTTTAAACTCATAAATGACATATCTTTTGAATATAACAATAAAAGTAACTACTTATTTTTTTAGTTACTTTTTATAATTCAAACATATATATATATACCTCAATAAATATATATTTAAATATAATTAATTTTTTTTAAATATAATATACAAATATTTATCAACTTATGGAAAAGATTTAAAATTTCACGACAAATTTGTTTGAAGTTCATATGGCAAGTATTATACACAGTCCGCACATTTTTTTTCAAATTTCTCTTCTAATGCCATTTTCAGTTAGTACGTGTTTAAAAGTGGCTAGGCATGCTTCCAGGATTTTTTTTCTTTCTACAGAAAGGATAATAATTTGTCGAATTATTACTTGTATAATATGAAAAAATTTAGAAGTTCAAGGTTCTCAGGCGCTGTTTAATCGTTAAACCACATTTGCT